ATTTTGACATCTGCAAATGTGTAAAAAAAATGGGAAGCTGCCCTTATAGACTGGAGCTCACATTTTCCTTCGGCTGCTTGCTCCTACTCCCTTGCCTTGCTGCTTTGGATGAAAGAGTTTTCCACAAGTATCATCTTCCACTACAAATCTGGGACTCCAGGCAGATTAGGAGTCAGCATGGTTGTGCCTCTCTTGAAAAGAAATATTTCTAGTGAGGCATCCCATCACATCCACTATACCTGCAATTTTGTTTGCACTGTTTTAGGGTACAGGCAGAGCATCTGCTGAGTAGAAAACAGAACTTTCAGTTTATAGAATTTTCAGGCAGCTGCATTTGTGCTGGAAGGACTGCTCCATGCTCAGACCCAACTGCTCAGATGCAGACGCACTGTTAACAGTTGTAGGGTGAGGACCCAAGGCTGCCTTTGTTGGATGTGATCTGTAGGCACCAGGGATGATTTTTCCCAAGAAGTTCCAGCTGTCACTGCAGCCAGTCCCTGGTAGAGTCTGTACTCTGACCTCAGCTGAGCTCAGCTCCCATGAATGCAGCCAGCTGTCAAGGAGGTGCTGATGGATATGAGCTAATGGGAAGCAGATGAGAGTACCTTCAAAGCCAAAGTGATGATATCTCTATCCACATCACTCTAAATGTATCAGTGCTCAAAGCAAGTTCCTTGCCCTGCTGCCAAAGCCAGATGAAATTGGAGACAAAGCTGGAGGATGCAATCAAGTAACAGTAGTATAGAACTATAGAGTCTCTTTCTTTTAGACATGACAAAGCAATATGACCAGCAATTGTGTTTAAGCTGTGCAGCTTGTTCTCTTTCCATTACTGCAGACTTCTGCTGCAAATTTCCATGTTCCTCCTGCCTAGTTTCCAACTATGGCTTTCAAGACACAATTCATATCTCTTTCTGAATGTTGTGTGAGGAAATGGGCTATATTGATATCAGTGTAAATTGCAAAGGAATGAAGAAGGGCACAGAGTAGGCATATTCAAGTTAAATCACCTTACAAATGCTGCAAGTCTGCTAAGGACCTTGAAGGAAGAAGATGCTTTGGTTTAGGGAAACAGTGGAGGGACATTCAGCTGGGGCTCTATCATTCCAAGGCATTGATTTAATGATATCGTGGTTCTCTTACCATGAAGGGTACAGTGCTTTATTTGATTTGACTCTTCAGATAGCTTGATTTCGTAATGTTTGGAAAGGACTATGGAAGGAAATGGAAGGGGATAGGAAAGAACGAAGCGATATCCTAAAATGTATAGGCCATGAGATTTTGCTCTACTTGAAAATATCACATTCTGTGCAGTGTATCTTAGTAACTCCTAGGTGGAGCTTCTACATTTGGCTGACTTGAATGCTAACATTTGGACTCAATTACAAAATGTAACCAGCCTGAATTACTACAGATTTTATCAGACATCTTCAGTTGTTCCCAATGAATGTGAAAAAGAATCTCTTCCTTAGGTAGACTTTTTTTTTTGATGGGAGATTCCTGACATAATGGGGCTTTTTTATGAAACTCGAGGATGAGACATATCAGGAAGTTAACTATCAGGAAGGTAACCAGCATGAACTCCGATTGTGGCTGCACTGTTAATGTTTCTTTTCCAAGACCAAAGTAAAAGATGCAGCCACAAGAGGGAGGCAGAACTCCAATGCCTGTATAATAACCCCAGCAGAAAACAAATCAGAGAAATGTGTTCTATAATTTTCCCACTTTGAGCTACAATTGTCCAGCAGCTCTCACACTGAAAGCAATGACCATTGTCTGTAAATTCTATAAAAGTGGGCTCACAATGCATAGCAATCATTAAATTAACATAAGCTGAAAATTAGTATGTAATACATAATTTTCTTAAACCTAAAAATTAGGTTAGAAACTACTTCAGGAGAAATTTTTTTCATGTGTTTTTTTGTAGACTGGAAGGAAAACTGTCCCTGTTCTTCAAAGGCATATAGTTGTATTCTTGCCAGGCTCTAAGATAGAAGGATCACCTTGTTTCAGGAAGGAGACTTTTAATAACAATTTGCTTCTTAGCAAATACAGCACCAGGATGTATTTAAACACTTCCATAGAACCTCAGCAAACAGATAAGGCACTATCCTCAAATAGTGCTATTACTTATCCTATTAAGTACTTTCACTGGACAACAGGCCTTCTAGATTCAGTGAGCTCAGCAGAGAAAGCAATTTGTATGGAGGGAGAGGGTAGGTCTGATGTCTAGTTCCTGCTCCAAGGACTATTTCCATAATATACTCAAGAGAATTTCAGAAACTGCACTGAAGGATGGACAAACACAGTCAGTACTCTAAGTGCCCAAAGCCTTCAGTTCTTTTCAGTCTTGAATTGTCTCTACCTCTTTACTTACCCTCTAGGCAGCCTCAAACAAGGAGGAGAAAGGGACCCCAAACCCATTTGCTTCTCCACTTGCAGTGCAGTGTTCTTACCAGTGCACAGGTTTATAGAATAAATGAATACCTATTCTGAGCACAGCAGCAGATTGGAATCCTCGAGAGAGGGAGAGTAGGTGAATGCCTGGCTTGGAAACCCAAGCTGGACTAGGCTGTATAGAACTGTGGTAGTTAGAGGCACACACAGGAACAGTAGGTGTTTGCAGACATCTTTCATGGAAATGTATGAGAGCTTCTGGGAATTTTGGTACTTCCAGAAGGAGGCAGTTGCATGGGGATTGACCAGATGGGAGTAGTGGACTTGGCTGCCCAGACTTGGACTGAGCCCCAGTGGCATATCTCGGGACAGTGGGGGGTGGATGTCTTTTAAAATAGTGGCCAGAAAAAAAAAAAAATCAAACTTTTTTGTCAACTTGTTCTTTCTATCATACAATGCATAACTGTATAAGTCTATGCATGACTATACAACACATACATATGCTTTTGTTTTTAATAGACAGTAGATAAATGTTAAATCCTTTTACAGGATTTTCTGCTGGAGGTGTTTAATGTGCTTTATGGATGTAAATTTAAACTGAATGTGTGCATGACTGCGCACACAAGTGAGGACTACTTGGGTGAAAAAGACTAGTCAACACAACCAAAAAATTAATTACTCTGTTGTCCTTTTCTGAGCTAAACATTGAATCAGCTGAGGTAGTCAACTCTTACACTCAGTTTTGAGATCTAACTGTTTTCCAGTGTGTTAACAACAGGCAAAATTCTGCATGGGGTTCACAGGCCTGAAAACCAGAGAGATTCATTGAGGATACTCAATGCAGTGGGTCAGTAGTCCAGGCAAAAACCTGAGGTATTAGCACACATTTTTCTCTGCTGAGATTGTAACTTCAGTGTATCCTATTTTGCTACCTGCATTCCCCTGGGAGTTCCTCTCACACCAACTGTCACTTCCTGACTGCCAGGGCAAAGGGTACCTGTAACAGCTTGGGGAAAAAAAAAAAAAAGCCTGCTGACTGATGCATTGGGAAGCAAGATTTTGATCAAAGGGAGATGGGGACAGGGGAGGCCATAGTGGTCAAACTCTATTAATCTCAGCTGAAAACTGGCTGCAGTTTTGCTTTTGTTTCTCTTGACCTGAACTCAGAACTCTGCTACAGTTCTGCCTGCATCTGTGCACTGACATGACTTTTTTGTATACAGCAGTTGCTGTTAGGCTTCGATACTGTGACCAAAACAACAGTTTTTCCTGTGATTGGTGCACTTCATGATTCAGACACGTCTGCTGTGACCTAGACCTGCATCTAAGCTGAAACAGTGGACTGCTCCTCCATCTTTAGCTTTACCTCAGCTGACCTTCAGCACCTTTTGTCTTACAAATTTTCAACATATCTGCTGAGGGCGTACAACACACATGGTGAGGGCAATCATGGCAACAAAGAGTGGTAAGAGAAAACTGTGGTGTTTTTTCTCTCCAAATGGTGCTATCTCACTCTAGGGATGTCTTTGGTTACACATCGCACTGGCACTCCTCTATCTCTTGTCAGGTGTTATTTTGGCTTGTCTCTAAGAAGTGCACTTATTGCCAAGGAACTCTGAGCTCCTTCGTTTCAACCTTTCATTTTTGTCTTTAACTTTCATTTTAAAAACATTTTGTATATTAACAAACCATCATGTTTAATATAATCCTACCCTCCCAATTTTATAGGATCATTTCCAAATGTCTCTGAATATCTGAATTATAGTAAATAATCTGCTATTACTAACAGCCCCTGAATATTTTTAAACTTTTTTCTTCTGGCTGACCTGATTTAATCTTGAATAATGAACATGAAGCATCAGTCTCTGTGTACTTCTGTTTTCTGTTACTGTAAAATGGTTGATTTACTGTCAGTTGTACTGAGGCTTCCTATGGAGAATGTGCTGATCTCAAAGCAATAATCTGAACAGCACTGATGGTGGGTATCCGATTTTCTTTGGTCAAGAGTGTCCAGCTCTTCAGTCTCATACAGTGAATGCTTTTGATAAAGACTGAAGACTGAAGAGGGTCTCAGTGACTGTGAGAGAAGTGAAAAGATGTATGAAATGATACATGGCTTACTCTACTTTGAAAGAGCACAGAGGATCATAGCAGAGAACTCCGTAAGTACTGTAGACCATACCCTTATACTTGCTTTGCAAACAGATGTTCTGATCACAGGAAGACATCACCCTTTCATGTTCTCCTGGCTTTAGTGGTGAAAGAACAGAAGAGACCACTGAGCAGAAGCTTCAGTTTTCAATTACTTTGTTTCAGGATGGTTTTGCTCAAATGTTGGAACATCTTCCATATTATGTCAGTTTTGTTCCACACATCTCTTATGTGGCTCAAGCTTTAGGCCTGCTCCATTTCCTTTGAAGTCTAAATTTTAATCTGGAGATTGAATTAAATAATCTCTTTACTGTATGCAGTCCCATTACTTCTAATTTATATTGTTCTTTATGCCATTCAAAATATCCCCTTTTCCTCTTCTGAATTCAAGGCCTCTGATTTATCAGAATGTACAGCACATAAAACTTTCAATTTCACAGTGAAAATTAGGATATGCTGTTTCATCTTAACATTTATTTAAGTTTTCACATAGTTTAAAACAAAACATGACATCCCATTTCAACTGACAAAATAAAAAGACAAAAAAAATAAAAACCACTTCTACAAAGTTAGCCAGTGTATAGACTTACTTATTTTACAAAATAAAAAGGTAGGAACATGTTACAAAATAATAATCAAGCCAATCAATGTCAATAGTGCAAAGAATGAATTGCAAGTATGGGAGAGAGAGAGGGAGGGAGGGTAGGACGGATGGGAGTATGGATGGATGGATGGGTGGGTGGCTGGCTAAACAAAACAGGAAGGTTAGGAACAGTTGTGCCTGTTACACACAAAATTTTGGATCTCTGGCATGTCACGATATAGATTTAACTGTAGTGGCAGAAGATGGCAAGTATTCCATCCATAAGTGATCTCTTGTGTGCTGCAAATTCTTGTGCTGGCCAGTTCTGGAGATGAATATAGCTATAAACACCAACTGCCAAGAGTCACTGAAAGGAATTTTTCACTATCTGGAACAGAAGTGACTTATCAAGGGCTTGATTAGTGCACTCAAGGGCCAAGGAAATTACTGAAAATTTTATGCAGGCAACAGAGTAAGTACCTCCAGGCTGAACTTTGTACACCTTTTCCTCTTGCTTTCATGCTCTTCTACATGTCATTGCTCTCTATTCTGAGAGGTCAATGTTCAAGAGGGAGTTTTAGCAGCTACTAAATAATGTGGACAGAGAGACCAACAGGTCTTGGATTTCCTATTGATCAAATATGTCAGCCAGCAACCCACCAGAAAAGAAAAATTATTTATGCAATGTTTCTGATGATACAGTTATATCTGTCTCCTTCATAGGAAGACTAAATTAAAATCTAAATAAAATATAGAATAAAAATAACAGAAGTCAGTTATAGTGTTTATCATCTGAATTTACACATTTTCCTTTTCTAGCAGAGTGTCCGTAGTTAATATATGCAAGAGGCATTAACTAAAATACACTCAGCTGCCAGGAGATGTTGTTCATCTTTACTAGGAGATGTTGTTCATCTTTACCCCTTGGGATCAAACACAGTTTATTTTTCTAGGCAAAATTCCATATGATAGCTCAAGTCTTACCACAGTACAAAAATTAAACAAAACACCCATGGGAAATAGAAGGAGGGCTGAAAGTGAGAATAGCCTCAGGCAGTATGCTTACCTTGAAGGCACATTTCCTGCATGGAGTGTCTCAGTATTACAAAGCTTTCAAATAAACCGAAGGCCAGTGATTGCATTTTTCTCAAAAGAAGTATTAACCTGAAATTAGTCAGAGATTTTTCTGCAAGACTTAAAAAAAAAAAAAAAATCATCCACACTACAGGCATCTCTAAATAATTGCAGCTACTCTCAAACTCACATAGCTCAGATCTTGTCCCTCACTCCCATCAACAGTCTGTTCAGATTAACACTGTATTCATATGGATGAAGAATATATGGTTCATGTACATAAAGTTCATGTGTGACAGTATCTAACACTGAAAAATTGGCACTGTTTAATCAATAAAGAACAGTGGAAGCCTCATTAAGGGCACTTAGGATCCAGTGTTCAAATGCTCAGTGCTCATAATGGTGCAGAACTGGTGACACCAACACCGGATTTTCTAAAGGTTTTGGTTGTGAGCGGTTTTTTGAAAAATCAAACAACTAACTCCAGTCCTTTAATAGGAAATAAGGTCTACTCTGGCTGAGGTATTCATGCTAAACTCTTGAAATTCAGTGGCAGGTACATCTGAAAAATGCTCTCTGGAGATCAGAATGGATTAAAATGACTTTCATATAAACCAAAACACTTTTCCAGTTTTGCCTGCTTAGGTCCTTGAAGATTGGAAGAGATAATTCAGTGTACAGCTAACTACAAAAGAAAGATTAGATTCAGGTCCATACTCTTTCTTTCATTCATTGATTCTGAATTAAAAAAAAAAAAAAGAATCAATGATAAAGTGGTAGAAAAATTAAGTAAATCCAGAAACCTCCAATATGCTTTTCTTTCAGTTTCTGGGGCATGGAATATTCTGTGGCTGAAGTATGACAGAGGCTGAACGGTTTAAGAATGATGAGATGAAAAATGATATTCCTTTTATTTTCTTCCCTCTTCAAGGAGTACAAAATAAATTTGTTTGTTTGTATTACTTATTTATATGTCTATGGGCTGGGGGCAATAGGCAAAAATTAAGACACTGAGCCTGCAGATCAGAGTAGGAAATCTCCCAACCATTTCTTTCACAAAACATTCTCACACTTCCTCAGTAACATCTCAGCACTCCTTCAGCTTGGTTTTCTTGGATTACTTGCTGGTGGGATTTAAGCAACTGTACAGCCAGGAGCTGTAGTGAAACACAGGAAAAATAGCCAGAAGTTCTTTGACTGCCTTTGAACAGAAGAATGAATTTTGTAGAGAAGAGTTGCCATGCAACTCATCACAACCAGTCTGTAGCAGAGCTGACAATCAGTCACAAATTCAGCCCCATGCTCTTGGGGCTGAATCATTTAATAATATCAATAATTTTAATCCACTGATCTCAAAATTCTTCATAAAAATTAACAGCATTCTTCCATTTACAGAAGGATGTTGCAAATGCGTAGTACTAACTGGTATGCTCTGAGGAGCTCCCTGGGCTCCAGCAGGGCTACCTGCAACAGAGGATCACATGCTTATTAAGAAGTCCTAGAAGGACTGAGACTTTACATATTTACAGTGGTGTGCCTGTGTAAGTATGTATCACTAGGATGATACAAGCTTGAAATTTAGGTACATATAAAAAGGCATTTATAAGTTCCATACAGTTTGTTTTAAATTCTACAACTACTGGCTTCAGACTCAATGTAATTAATCGCATGTTTTATTTGGGATTTTAACGTTGTAGCAATTTTCATAGTAGTCACAGTGAAAGTATTAAATCAAGAGTGTATTAATTTTCTGTTATACTCACTTTAAAATGAAATAAATTTATAAAAAGGCTTTCATTTTAATTCAGTAGGATTTTAAATTACATTACCAAGGCTTTCCAAATATGTATTTTAAAGTCAGTAGTAACCTTTCAAAAGATAAATGATCTAATAAATTATTTTTTTACATTTAAAATTATGAGACAAAATATTACACAAGCCATAGAAATAACTAAAAATGAGTACTTTTAACACTGTTTTCTCAGAAAATATATGTAAATGAGTGATTTATGTCTTCTGCATTTTTATTTAGAAAGAAGTTTTAAGACTTGCTGTTACTTCCAGCTAAAGTCGGATAAAAAAATCTCCGTAATAGAAGCTTGTTGTTATTTTTTGGAAAAAGATTTTGGGGCCCAGTTAATGGGAGTATTATGAATTACTTATATTGTAGGTTCAAGAAAGCACATGAAAATAATATGCGCTGCATGGACTTCCAAGGATTTTCAGGAAAGCAACATTGTCTCTTAAAGTAATTGTATTATGACATTTTCAATAACCACCCACCTTACCCATCCAAAAAAACATATAAACCCCCCAAACCCAAAACTAAACCCCCGTGTTTTTCCCTTAAATATCTTTCTAGGCAGGAATGATCTAATCTTAGCAAAGTCCCTCTTGTATCTCCTCTATTACAACACATATTCCCTGTTGCTAGCAGCCATAACCATAGTCAGTCAAGATACCAGAACAGCTCAGACTATAAAAATAAAAATTTCAAGAAATTGCAGAGGTTTTCTTGTCACTTGTGCAGACTCCATGAAAATGTGCACAATGACATTGTCATTTTGGGGGATGAGACAGAAAGGGGTGAACAGAAGAACAGCTACATAATCGTCTGTCATAGAGATCATTCTCTGTGTTTATGTTGCAGAGTGTGTTGATTCTCCAGAATGATGCTCAGGGTTTTCAATCCACTGACCACTTCAAAAAGGAGATTTTATATAATTTTTCATTTGATGTTCCTTGGATTTTATTTTGGTAGTTCAGAAGGAAGTGATTCAGTCAATGACCAAACCAAAAGGCATATAAATAAAATGCTTAATGTAGGAGGGCAAGATTGTAAGTGAGATAAAGGCTGATTTCTGATGTGGCACTTAGTGCCATGGTCTAATAACCACAGTGGTAGTGGATCAAGGGTTGGACTTGATGATCTCAGAGGTCCTTTCCAACACGGCTGTTTCTATGATTCTATGGTTGCCAGACCATACTTGAGTGCAGAACCTGGATGGTGAAGAGGCAGAAAAGGCAGGCTTGACTCTACAGCTGTACTTGTATCATTCCAGAAAAAGCCCAAGGGACTGCTCCAAACAAACCACTGATGAACTTCTTCTCAAGGTATGGATCATCACACAGGAAAAAATAATACTCTTCAGGGTATTATTTTAAAAGTAGTACTCTATAATTTAATAGAAAAATGCCCAAAGCCTGCAAGTCCTTTCTTTCAGGTCTCTTAGTTTGACCACCCCTCTTGGGACTTGCAGACTGATCTTCCTTCACTGTGTAGCACATTCATTGACATTTGCTGTATTTTCTCCCTTCAGATCCTCATTCAAGCTTTTTTTCTGCTCTATTTCAACCTGGCAGAAGAAAAAGAGGGAGAACATTTGTAATGAGAAAGGAAAACAAAAGATTCAAAAATCTTCCTCAGTGGTGGTTTGTGTCCTGCTCAGGTGAAGTGAGAGGGTTGTGAATTAAAATAGATTGAAAATCAGAGGAAGTTGGATTTTATTTACTGTAAGTATTTTAAGTCTAACCCAAGCAGTTCTACCCATAAGGATCATCAAATGCTCCTTGAGGTACTGCCTAACACCACCCAAACATCAGCACCCTCATTGCTGTCCTCAGGCTCAGAGGTGCTTTGCCCTACAGATACCAACTTGTACTGGCACAGGACCAAGGAGGTCTATATTTGGGTTCTAAATTTCTACATCTCTGAAAACTCAGGAATAATCCAATGTTTAATTCTTACAAGGGATACTTAGGAAGATCAAATACCATCTCCAGAGAATTTAAGAGACTATAAAAATGTAATTACAATTACCAGTAAAAATATTTGCTACAACGATCTTTCCAGAATCTCTCATCATTGCTCTTAAAGAAAGCAGGTAGGATTCCAATTTCTCTACCAAGTGTTCAGCTAACATGCAAATTTACTGAGATTCTTGGCAGGTGTATACATAGTGTACTTTCCCATCTGCTCTTCTCCTTAGGGCAGGCAGGAGGAAGAAAGTATTTAAGCAGAGAAATAATGTGATCCTTTTGTCTGCTGTAGGACTCCCACTGTAGTATTCTCACTGGAGGTGATATGAAGAGCAGCAAAACTCCCTGTTCACACTTGTACCATATCAGCTAATCCCCAGCAACTGGCTGTGTGCATGCTTTTTCACAGGAAACTGCCAGCAAATTTATTTCATCTTTGCTGTTTGCCATGAATCAGTAGCTCCTGGGTAGCACATGGGCAGCCACTGCAGACAGCCTGGCATGTGCCAAATTCCCACCTCATTTGGCCATGGTATTTTATTTGTCTGCCCACACTTTTCAAGACAATGAAAGTGTGCAGCGTAACCATGGTGATTGCCACATGCTCAGTTTTACCTTGTAACTGTAGTGTGCTGAATAGTTGACCCACTTCCTCACATCGGTCTTGTCCTCGACAGAGATGGACCGAACAGCGGCTTTGGATGCAGAAGTGGTGGGCATGTCAAATTCCACATCTACATAGCGGACAAAGCTGGAAGGCACTTCCCGGTCAGAGCCAAGCTCTAGGTGACAGAAGAAGCAGTGAGGATGGCCAGAAGCTGTAAAAGAGAGCAAACAGTAATGCAAGTTGTGTTGGGTGAATGAGAAAACAACACCTAGGAGAAAGCATCATTAAGCTGCAAGGAACCGAGAATCTCCCCAGATGAACCAGTTCATAGCAAGTGACATTATCTTACCTATTTCAATGCTGTTGAAGTTACCAAAGTAATTAAACAAAATGCAAAAAGGACTGTCAATCACTCTAGTTTGCTTTTAGTGGGTGAAAATACAAGAAGTAAATCAAGAAAAGTAGGGTAAAGGTATTTGTCCTCTTCTGATTACTTCATTATCTGTAACACTGGGGCACACCCTTCTGAAATATTATGAAATTATAGTAAGGGAAGGAGGGACTTGGAGATATTTCACATGTATTTGAAATTTTTATCCCAATTTTTAGCAAAGGAAAATGTACTGGATAAGCTTAAGTAACTTTCCTGGCTTCAAAAAGCAAATCTGTGCAAAGCTTCAGAATAACTGTTAGTTCCTCACTCTAACCTGTGACATGGTGGCTAATTATTAAGGATGGCAAGGTGATATGTTTAGCTCTGTCATCTGTAAAAGACAATCTTTGTTATTATTTTCCTCCTTTGTTTCACTGGACAGCAGTTATGTTTAAAAACTAAAGTAAGGAATTCTAGTCAAGCTAGGTTGGTTTTGTTTCTGACTGCTGCCACCCCTAAGCTCTTGAGCAAGTAATTTAATGTCTGTGCCTCAGTTTCTCTGTTTGCAAAATGAAGATGAAAGCCTTCAAAGCCACAAAGGGCTTTCTGATTGAAGAGATTCTATTACCTATGTATGTGTAAATGAATGTATAAATAAATGAACAGGATCCTTGTCTGCCACTATCATAGGCTTTAGGATTTCAGATTACTTGTTCACTGGAAAAGTTCTCTCCATACAGCTCAGCAAGGTGTACAGGGCAGAGACAAGGAAGGAGGAAGGCAGGAAGAATAAAGAGAACTGGGTAGGGAAAGCCCAGAAACCTGCCCTAGGAAGAGCAGGAATACACCTGCTTAGCCCAAAAGTCAGCCTTGTTAAGATGAAGCTTGAAAAGCAAGATATGGGATTTTGAGGTATTATTTGTCCCAACAGGATGAAATTGGCCAGTCTTTAGAGGGCTTAGGCATTGCAACATCCCACTTGACCTCTGAAATAAAGTCAGAAAAAAAATTCCACACGAAGTAAGTCTGGGAAAGAATTTAATCTAAAGTCAGCCTCATATTTCAAAACAGTCTAGCCAGTTTCCTCACCACTAGAAGGTGCTCTCTGGTACTGTATTATGAAGACACCTAGAAATGGGTCATTCCTGGCTCAAAAAACCTGTGTTCAGCACTCAGTACTGGCAACCAATTCCCAGTCTCAGAATGCCCATCCATTCGAATCTCTTTCCTCACCCTGTGCCACTCTCTGCAGAATCCTCATTTTAATCTTTTCTGCTCATCTGTTTTGCCATGCTTTTCCTCTCCCTTAGTTTGCCATGGGTTGCTCCCTCCTTCAGACTGAAAACCCAGCAGCCCAGGAGAAGCATCTCTGTGCTCCAGCACAAGCCAAATCCACAGCTACAAAGTGTTAAGCTTGTGCCACTACACTCCCGAGCTGGTATGTACTGAGCTGCTTTTGGGATGGATGTGTGTGAAGGTAACACTGGCAAGTGTTAAACTGGGCTTGAGCACACTGCATGACAGGTGCTTTGGAGGTCTGAGCTTTTAAACTCTTTATAATTTCAACTGTACACATGGGATCAGCAACCAATTTTAACATACCTAAGTGTGGATATCCATAGGCTCAAAAAATGGGGGAAAATAAGGTGGGGGAAATAGAGGGGGAAAAAGGTAACAACCCCCCCCAAAATGCAATTAACAAGGTAATTTTTCAATAATTTAATTTCTTCTACTGGGAGAGCCCATTAACAGAAAAGACCATGCACAGCAGTCAAAACATATGAAAGTTATTAATTTAAACCAGCTCAGCATGGTAGACAACAAGGTGAATAGATTAAGAAAGCAACTCCTTCACTGAAGCTATTGCAAAATTACTTAGCACATCAGTGTTCCTTAGTGTGCTGGGTGTGAGGCCCACAAGGCACAACCTCTATAGACTTTGTTCAACAGACTCATTCAGGGTTATTTCTCTAATGGACAGGTAGGTACATTTTCAGTAAAATCAGGAGGCAATTGACAGCTTTTGTTTTGCACACCTTGTTTCCTTGAGTTTCTAATATTTTGTTCTGACAATCAAGGATCTGATAACATAATTCATATATATGCATGTTTTACTGTGATTGAGGGGAATCTTTTCTCAATTACTCAGGTGTCCCAACATGTTTGGATTAAAGGATTTAATTTACTTCAGAAAGTATCCCAGGCAGCATGCCTGGGATACACAGCCAAACTAGAGAAAAGTTCAAATCCAGATCCCAGGCTCTGCGTAGAGGCTACATCTCTGCTTTGCTGAAAGAGTATTTTCCCACGATTGAAGACTGTTTGGATGTTTCCCTAGTATTCTACTGGTGGATTAAAAAAAACTCAACATGTGAAACCCAGCCAGCAGCTACTGGAGCTCTGCAGTCTGTAAATAGGCTTTCTTTATCAACTCTTTTGATCATATTAATTTTGAATATGAGAAGGGCAATAATGTTTAACAAGCCATTTTGCACAGGACTTCAGTAATGTGCTCAGTAGAATCCAGTCCATAGTTTTTTCTTAGGTCAAATCACAGTCAGAGTATGCACTGTCCTTCATTGGTCATATGCTTTTCAATGTTGAGTCATAAGCAGATGCTTTGGCTACAAAATAATACAGACAGTGCTGATAACACTGTCACCTAGAGTGACAGTGCAAAGGGCCCCACCCCATTAGAAAGCACAAAAAGAAAACATTTGGATAAGACAGCAAAGCTGCTGAAATAATTCTTAACGATTTTTGTGCTTAGGATTCCACAACCTGAATACAAGCAGTGAACTTCAGGAAGGACCAGCTCTCCTCCCCAGTGGGGCTGTGCATGGCAGGGCTGATGGTGTCACGTGCCTCACATCTGCACAGAGCCTGCATCAGTCCACATTCGGCGAATGCAGGGAAGGAAGAGTTCCAGCTGGCTACTTGGAGAACTCCAGAGTTCCTGGGACTGCAAGCATTGTGTCAGAGCACAAACTGTGGATGAACAAAAGATCCCTTTATGAGTGTCTACATACATGCTCCTTTGAGCACAACTGGTAGACAGGCAGGCACGTGTGCTGCAGGCAGTCATGCAGTGCATGTGCCCAAAGTGGTGTGGACAGGTTGTGTGGCCTCTGCTGGCAGGGTGGAGCTGCAGACTGTGGCCACCTGCAGCATTTCCTCCAGCTGCAGTGTGATGCCACTACCTCTCTCCTGCTTTGGAATTCCAGGTGCCAGGGCAGTTAGTTAGCAGACCAGACATTTAAAGAAGACCCAGAGTGCCCTTAGAGATGAGTTTGAGGGTGCCACAGTAAGAGAGCATCAAGTGTGAGTCAAGGGAGTAGTTTTATATTTAGTGTTTGAGAACTGCATCATTTATAAGGACTTGGCAAATAGATGGAGGTGGGTTATTATATGATTTGTGGGTAGGGCTGGACACAGCCAAAGATGTCCAAGACTGGGAGTTAAACCCCCCCACCAGTATCACATGGTCAGAAGCATGTGTGGTCCATCAGGCAGATCTAAGCAGGAGTGGGAATAAATGCTATTGAATACCACTTTGTTTGCCACATACTTTGAGTAAGGAAACCCATGGGATGAAGTACCGTCAATAAATAGAAATAGTCCGTGAAGGGCAAGGTCAAATTTCAACTACACTTGGCCTGCCCTGTCATCACTTTGGGATTCCCTCCCTCTCACATACCTCATGTGTCTTGGCCAAGACAGTGCGTCCAAGGCCCTTCCTTTCCCTGAAATTACATCTGATCTGACCGGAGGGGTGAGGACACTCTCTTCCTCTCAGGATGTAAACAAATACTAAAATACTGCCCTGTGTTCTGCACAGTGACACTGATGGATAGATTCTCTGTGGCAGGGGTCCAACAGCAGCAACAAATCTGTAATGAATTTCCCCCTGTCACAGTGTATATACAATAAAGCCTCACACTGGGAGAGATGGCATCAGGGCAACAAGAGGCACTCCCCCAGAGTAACAATGTGTAAGGAAGCATTACCTTGCAGGAGGTAGTGGAGACAGGAGTTTTGCCTCTTCTCCTGGTTTGCTACTGGCATGTTCTGTGATTGTGTTAAAGTCTGGGGGCTTTAGTTTTCCCAGCTGTAACATCTATATGGTATATTGAGATCTTTGGAGAGAAGATGCCACAGAAGGCCAAATTTCACAGCATCTCATCCCCAGAGCTCGTGCAGATGGCACAGTGAGATTTTTAACAAGCATGTTATTGCTCATAAACAGTCTGAGGTTAATTTTTCATTGCTATATTTCTCTTGAGTTTCCAAGCTCTGTTCTCTTATGCCCCAAACTACAAGAAGTATGGAGCCTTCCCTTTTGTCAGTGATATCCCTCCAAATTTGTAACCTATACTGTAAACTAGTGTCCTTGGGCTGAAATGTCATCCAAAAGATTAGGAGACTTGGATCACTGCTTTGCTGACACTATAACTCAGACTCAGGAAACACATGTCCTTAGAGAGAGCCAAATCTGGTATCACACTGAACTTTCCTTCAGGGACACTGAATATAGAAACCCTCCTGGTCACCCAGGTGCATTACTACAGCATACTAAAAAGTGCATCTCATTTGTAAAAAGCTATTCTAGATCAGAGAAGCCAAGAAGTAGAATTCACTACAAATAAAAATAAACCTGAGTTGTCCATCTTTATTGTGCACCATGGATGAAAGGCAGGGAATAGAATGACTGGCAGCAACAGCCAAAGGGAACAGTAACTTCCCTACATTATTTGAATATTTAATTATGAACATGTTACTGGAAATATAAAGATTTGTGGGTTTCATATTAGTATTCTCTCTTCAGGTTTAAGTTGCAATTGCATGTCTACACTGATTACAGAAACATAGCCACAAACTGGTGTACGGAAATTTCTATTTTTTTAAATGGTTGAGCAATATCTTCTGTTCTCTTACAATCCCCATTCCAGATAGTTTATAGGCATTAATTGTGGCATATGCATTGAAATATATAGCATTGGCCCAGTATGCTTGGCAATGCATGGAAAATGAATCACATGTGCTGGATGGAATCATAGCAAGTTATCTGGTCTTGTCATTTAGTTCCATAGTATAGAATCTTGCCTTTGCAAGTTACCTGAAAAAGCCCTGCTTCTAATAACAGTACTGAGCACACAGTGGCATTTGATGCTTAAGTCTCATAGTCATAGAATCACATAAACATTTAGGTTGGAAAATATCTTTAAGATCATCAAGTCCAACCATTAACCCAGCATGAACTTAGTCTACCACTAAACCATGTCCCTAAGTACCACATCTACACCTCTTTTAAACACCTCCAAGCAGAGATAGAAATGTATTTTTGCATCTGGAAAACTCAAAACTGTTTTTATCATTATCCATATTTGTAGGATATGTAAAACTATGGCAATGGTCAGATAAATGCTTCAAGCAACTCATTTATGTCCTTTAGTATATTACAGTGGATGCTTTCTCTCACCATTTAAACTCACTATTCCCTATCTTCCAAAATACATAACTCCTTTTAGTTTACTCCTGCAGAGATGGTATACACCACTCACCTGAGTTTTTGTCAGGCAGTCGGTTTATCCTCCATACGATGGAATTAAAGGCGTGCTCATATTTGGCAGTTCCCAAAGTTACTCTCATTACTGGCTCAGAACCAGACAGACCAGTTGATCCAAAAGTGGCTCCCTTGTTCACCTTGGCTTTCAAAGATTTCTCCCCCAGGACACTCTCCCTGCGGAAGTTCTTCACCCACTCATTTGGCACTGGGAAGCGGATCATCACGTTTTCACAAGGGACCTGAGTTAAAGGGTCATGATTGGAAGAGAATCCTGTGGACATCATCAGCCAGCTCTGCACCTCCACCTCAGCACCGTTGATGCTGGCAGCTGTCCGCAGAGTAAAAGGCAAAGTTTTCTCAGCAAAGACAGTTCTGAACCGCATCAGTTCAAACCGGCAGGCATCCAAAGGGTTGAACAGGATAATACGGGAGTTATTAAACATATCCTCATCCACACATGAATGGAACTGACAGCTGTATAATTTAATCCACTTAGTGGTAGTAGTGGGCATAATATCCTGCCTTGCAACTATTTCATTCCCTTTGATCAGGATATCATTAAGGCCCAGTCTGCACTCTGCCAGGCCAGAAAGGAAGCTGAGAACATAGATATGGGTCAGCACACAGTGCTGGAGAATCGCACTGTCTCCCTTGGCCAATATGCCATGAAACTCATCCCTGACATCAACAGTGATTTCTTCTTCTTGATAGTTCAGTCCCACTGTGCTCAGATCTGTTGATGAAGCTGGCAAGTTCATCAGTGTGTCTTGCACAGCATTGATAAAGCTAAGGAAGTCTTCATAATCTGTAGTCCCAAGCTTGATAATTTGCTCTCTCTCTGCTGTGTGTGCAATGGCTGGTTTAGGCTGATACTTCTTTTTCTCCTTGTATGTTGTGCGATCCAACCGCACGCTGTGTATTCTTCCATTCTCGTCGTAGTTCTGGAGTTTGCGCTCCGAAATCTCATGATTGATTTCCAGTTTGAGTTCCCGGAAAGGTTTCTCTAGCCCCTTCTCATAAAAAAGCTGTATACATCCACTGTCAGTCAGCTTGACATATATTGGTCCCCAGTGCCTGGATGACATAATATTCTTCTTCTCTGGGATCCTGAGCATCATTGGCCATCCATCCTTTGGCTGAGCTGGTGCCAGTTTAAATAAAGCTGCATCCAGATCATAGGGCATCATGGGGTCATCATCAGGCAAAGTAGAACTGCTCAAACGATCTGGGTCTCCAATCTGGAGTTGTTTGAGCTGCTCTACAGCATCCGTGTGGGTTAGACTTTTGTTTGCCTCATGGAAACTGATGGTATCAGGCTCTTGATGGAGAATAATGAGAGAGTCTCTTTGGCTTTTGCCTGGAGCACTGGAGACAGAAGAGTTTTTGGAACGCCTCTCTTGCTCCTCAAAGAAGGAGCTGAATGGATTGATGGGTGAGGGTTGGACATCTCGCAGAGATTCATCCAGAAAGGGATTAGTAGCACTCCATGGTGGTGTTTCAACAGAAGGCAACTTGGTTAAGGAGGAGAGATCTAGTTTTTGAATTTTAGAGAGGTCCCCCAATGTGCTTTTAGGACGTTCTCTTTTCTTCAAGGATGTAGTGAGGTTAAAGTTAACATCTGGAGCCTGTGTTTCTGCAGATGGGGTATTTGTTTTCAAGGGAGAAAGGTTCTGCGGTGAAAAACTGACTTCATTGTCATCAAAAGTCACCCAGCTGGGAAAGCGCACTGTGGTTGGGGTAGATGAATGCCCATTCACGGAGGTGTTGTTCAGCTGCCAGTTGACAGCCTCCATATCTATCTCTTCATCTTCCTGGAGAGACGAGGAATTGTCTTTAAAAAAAGAGGGGAGGGGAGGAAATTTCAGCTAATTATTTGAAGTTACCTACTTCTCTCCGCAAAAAGAAAACCACAGTCTGCATAACAGTCTGCACGCTCATGGAAGGCCTATTCATCTGTTGGGCAAGAATAAGATAGTCAAAAGACTTGGCTAAAATGCTGAAGAGTCTGACAAGAGTTAATGAAGAAATAGATTGTTGAACACGGAAAAGGAATCCAGGAAGAAATGCGAAAGGAATCATAGCAATGATTGTATTGATCTCATCCCAACATAACAACCTAAAGGAGAAACTTAGTCCACATGTTGTGGTGGTTTTTTAAAACTTCCCTCTCTAAATTTTCAGGACGCATTTCTTCTCTACAGTTATATTCTGCTATTTGCCCGTAGTGTTCCCTCACTCTTTTTATAAATTTTTCCCTTTTCTGACCCCATATCCTTTGCTCCATAGAAGAATCCAGTAGGAAGAGGAATGAACATTCAGGAAAAGCACTTCTCCAGTCTGTCCCCACATACTTGTCTGTGCATTTGCTGTTACCACAAAAGCACATGGGGATATGGTGAAGGCACCATAAAAGGTGCCTAGCTGGGATTTTTGCCCAGGATGTGTTCAGTAAGGAAACTCTTTGGTCTACCCAGTGGGAAAGAGTCTGACAGTCCTCAGATGTCTCTGAAACATCTCTTGGAGAAGCTGTGGTCTACGGATGTACGTTAGGACAAGAAAAAACTTAATTTTGACTTGTGTTGTGGAAGCTGTCCTCATCCTCTGTCAGAATATGGCACCTTTAACAGCTATGTTCCTAGTCTCAGGTTCTGCCAAGACACTTTGTAAAAGCCTGCATCATGCTGTGCTATTTCAATCCCAGCTCTTCTGTGGGAAATTGCTGCAATGGTAATAAGGTGTTTTTCAAAATGAGCACAAATTCTCAGGGTTCAGAAACTAAATTATTTTCTTCCCATTTTCTTCCCACTGGGCTAATGAATCAGAGAGCTCCTAAAAACGAGCAGCCAGCACAAAATTATACTCTGTAGCTGCACCACAGGCTTGCGCTACATGATACAGCACTGCTAGCATTTGTCCTTTTTGCTTCTCCTAGACGTAGAGATTCCATGTTTTACATAATTCACCGATCTTCAGTACAAGCAAAATGTAAGTGTAAAATATAGCACTTTGGTATGGCTGTAAACCTGTGATCTGAGCATATATTACAATATCAAAAACAACATCAACAAACTATTTAAGTCATTATTTAAATTGCCACCAGTTCCAAAAAAAAGATGAGTTTGATTTCCATTCTGTCTCAACCATAACAGATAATTTGAATTTTTATTTAAATTACCATTTAGAATATGAAATAGGGAATATTCACGCTAGCCAAAGTCCTGCCATAACCTCATTATAATGTCTTGGGTAACTTGACATTCCAGGCCTCTGATTTCAGCTATACGTAACTTTACCCAACCTTTTGATCTAAGGACAAAACACATCATGCAAGTTCAAAGGGTTATTACATTTGAGAATTATATATGATGCAGAATGATACCAATTAGTTTTTCAAGCCACAAGAATGCAAAGCAATAACAGGAATAGATAGATTTTACAGACTACCCAGGCATTGCAAAGTGTACTTGAAAAGAAGTGTTCTATCTCAGTTTCTCAGATTTTCTTCTCTACCCTGCCATCTTACCTCCAGCTTTGCACAGTGCCTGTCTGTAGCCCCTGCTACTGGTCACACCACCTGGTACAGTGAGGAATTCTTTAAGTCTTGTCACAAGGCTATAGATAGATTTGTGAGGCAAAAAAACTCAAGCCAAAAGACTATTATCCACCACACCCTGAGGGAGAAAGTAATAAAAAACCCACCAAGAATAATCTGATGTTCTGATCCTCAGTCCACACCAATACCTTCTATGTTGTCTCATGCCTTTCCAGGACTTTGGTCATCAAGCATGGAGTCCTTTTCAAGCAAAGCAAAGGCAACGAAAATATGTGTGTCTCTGCTTTTATGGCATTTCTGTGAAAACATTGCCCATTTCTTTTAGGACTTCTAAAACTCCTGTGTTTATAAGATCAGGGTTGCTTAAGGGTGGACCATCTCTTCTCTGTTTGCAGTTATAATTTCCCCCTTTCCTGTATCTTAACTTTTGAACTAAATGTGATTCCACAGAGAAAGTATTAACAGGTCTGGTAAGTCTGAGAGGTAGATGAGAAGACCTCCTTGAGAGTCCATGTGAAAACCACACAGAAATCACTTGAAAAATTTATTTCTAAACTGAGCAAGTTTAACAAGATGCATTGCTTTTTTTTTTTTGATCCAGATGACCAGAAATACAGTAGAAGCATTAAGAAAATATGTTTTCATATAGGTAATAATAGTTTAATTTTATTTGTTAGAAAAAACACAATAAACTGTTATTTGATTTGATATGTGGAAAGGTTTAAACCCAGGAAGTGAAATAATCTTTCTTTCCCAAACTAAAATCAAAAGTACATTCTTCTGCTGCCAAAGAACTATACTATACGGTTTGGTTTATAAATATTTGAAGAATACAGAGGTTGTTCTAGAAAAGACAAGTTTTTAGCTTTATCTATAAGAGAATGACTAAGCAGAGAGAATAAAAATACCAATATGTTAATGCAGCTAAGCATCCAAAGAAAGTTACTGAGAACTAGATGAAATAGTGTGTGTACACCAAGAGAAATGTTGGCATGTCTGCTGCAAAGGCAAACACAGCATGGTTAAAAATCTTGATATTGTTAGAGAATGGCTTATGCAATGACTTCAGGTTTTTCCCTTCTTGACTTTTGATGTGTTCTTGAAGATGGGTGACAAAGTTTAAAATATACAAGTCCTTCAATTTGGCAGCACCCCAGAGGCTCTGGGAGAGCACACTTAAGGAAGCGATTCCCTAGATGAATTTCTTGCTTTTACACCTGTTTTCAAAATTCCTTTCCATACAGTAAATCAAGATGTGTAGATGTGGCACTTAAGGACATGGTTTAGAGGATGACTTGGCAGTGTTAGATAAATGGTTGGAATTTATGATCTTAGAGGTCTTTTCCAACCTAAATGATTCTCTTATTCTAGGAGGATAACTTGCTGATGGATTGTGGACAGTCCTCAACCCAGGGTGTTGTGATAAAGACTGATAAAGACTAGATAAAGACTGACAAAGACTAAATCTGCATAATGGCATAAATGATCAAAAGAAAGCATTTGGTTTTTCCTTCTTGACTGACTTTGCTTTCATAAGGAAATTATTTTGATAGGTGTTTGTTTTGCAACAATAAACTCTTTTAATTGTCTGACTTTGCCAGATTCCAGCCTGACAGTTAGCTTCAGTCAACAAAACACAGGAGTAGATTTACCAAGGAGGTAAATTTACCAAGGCACAGTAGCTTGGACTCCTTTTCCAGTGACACCAGCAGTGTGAACTCTGAGGTGAGCAGCCTCAGGCTGCCCACACAACTATGCATTTCTCTGCATTTGTCCCCCCATGTAAGTGGTGCCTGCAATCAGTACTGGCTGTACCTTACTGCATACATGCCTGAACTGCATTACCAGGCCATTAAATAATTTGGACACTTAGGTGCCCAGTCAACAGTAAAATGCCATCTGTATGGTAAGCTGGAAAACAGAATTGTTATAATGGATGCAAAATATCTCACTGTGATTGTGCTCTTGTGACTCACGCTACGGGAAAGAAAGCTTTGGTTCTCTTCACTGTATCATCTTTTCATTTTTGTATTCTGTTAAACCATGACAACTACTTTGGCCAAAACCACCAGGTAGTATCATGTTACTTGTGCCTAGGGGAAAGGCAGCCATCCAACTGCTAAAGGACATTGATATTGCAAACTATTTGTGATCAAAAATGTGCCATGGAAGTAGGAAGAAGGTTTGAGAGTGTTACATACCTTTCAAAAAGAAAGGCAGGTAATGACTTTCAGGAATGGATCTGAGAAAATGCCTGGATTTTCAAGTTTCTGAGTACTCATGTATTTTGCCTCCTGAGAGAAATTAGCTCAGAGATTCATGGCATGACTGTTTCTGTTACCTGAATATATTAATTTACATTTAAGTTAGATAGCTCTACTTTAAACTTTAGTCTGTAGTATAGGCTCACATCTTCCAATGGGGTGGTCACTTCCCTGATGTGTCCTACACCAGTCTCTCACACAAAGTAAGCACTGCAGGATTCCTGTTGGCATAACTGGATCTCTTCTAGGGTTCTTGGTGGGAAACTATTCTACATAAAGTTCATCAGACACTGGTATACAGGCTTGCCCTTTGAAGATCAGCCAGTTCAAGAGGATGCCAGCTACAAAACCTGTAGTATCTCTGTATAAGCAATGATAGAAAACCAGAAAGTACAGATAGACAGAATCTGGGAGAAATCAAGGACTAGGCTGATGTGCAGTTATATCTCCAGGACAGAGGTTATGCTTTCACATAGTTTCTGTAACATCCATATCTGGTCATTTTCTGGCATTTTGTTTCCATATCCAAGTCAATACAACTGTGTCTGCACACTTTTTGGGGGGTCTGTCATGATCAGTCTGGGAGTGGTCTGTCATGCCACCAAGACAGATGGCATAATTTAAAAATTATTTAAGGTGAGTAGGCCATCTCTCTGAAGTGATAAAACTGGACTCCTATCTCCAGCCTTGCCATCTACCTGCTATGTGGCTCTGGGAAAATGCTTCATCACTATTGTATCAACATCACAGCTTCTGATTCTCTTTTCACTTCCTGTAATTTCTGACTGTAAGGGTGTTACATGTGGAACAGTGATTGTTCCTCTGTACTACAGCATCCAGATTTCTGGGACTCAGAGTACACAGTGTGCGTAAATGTCACAGTACAAACTGATTCAATGAACAGGTCTGTTGCATCCATGCACTTGAAAAGAGTTTCAAGTTTAGTACAAGCTAGGAAGCCAGGCCTGTTTTTGTAAGCGTCCCTGTTTATCACAACTCTGTTAATGGTGGAAA